AGAAGCTCAAACAGCTTGACCTGGAAGATACCTTCCAGCGACAGGTCGAGCATGGATGTGCGGAACTCGTCCATTTCCCACTTCAGTATCGAAAAGTCGGACTCTACCTAGGTCGAGTTGGGGAAGACGGTCGCGAGACCGGCGAAAAGGCGGCGCAGCTGGAGGTACTTGACGCCACGCCCGGCGACCTCGTCCCACGTGTCGTTGAATGACTTGAGATGGTCGTGCTAGTCGAATATCGCCTTCGTCGCTGGCTCCTTGTTGTACGCCTTAATCAAATCGCGGTGGTCCGTCTCGGCGGTGTTGATCTAATCGGCTGTTCAGGACGTCGCCTCGAGCTGTGGCTTCCGCGGCTCTAGCACCTCCGAGACAAATGTCGCGGGTCTCATCTTGACGAGGTCGTGCGGCATGATGGGTGGCGCGAGCTCTATGGACGGGTTGTTCATTGGGGCGCGCTCAGCTTCCACTTGGTGGATGCCGTCCGTGATGCCGATGGCGAACAGTCCGATCGTCCTCAAGACTTGTGATTGCTCGATGTTGTCAAGCTTCTCCCTGTGCACTCGAGCGCGCGACCCGAGGTCTTCGACGTAGTCGCAAAGCGAGGCGATGAGCACGATTGACTGGTTTCGCTGCACGTAGGTATTGACAGGCAGGTCGTCGAAGTCGCCCTCGCAGTCGACCTCGAAGTCGGCGATGCGGCACACCTCGAACAAGTCGGCAATTTCGTCGGCGAGAACGAGAAACAGCTTCCGTTGCTGGCAGAGTACCAAATTGCGCTGCTGGTGATTGACGAAAGTCTCAGTGATCAACTCAATGGTTGGGGAAAGAGCATGCACGAGGACCCACCAGGTCGACTTCAGCACAGGCGGCTGAGCCATGTTGCCCTCGGCGGCGCGCTCGGCGAAAAAGGTTGTGATTCTCGGTTCGTGAGCAATGTCGAACTTGAGCACAGCTCCGAGCGCGATCCACCGGTTTGTCTTATTGGGGCTTGTCACGCCCATTTCCGTGATCAAATTCGACTGCCGGCGAAGCTACACAGTCACCTCCTAGGTCTTCTTCATCCACGCGCCACCGTCGATCTCATCGATATACAAGTGAACTTGCAGGTCGAGCTGGTGTGGAGCGCACCACACTTGGACGACCTTGTGAAGATGTAAACAAACTAGAAGCCCCCTTCCACGACTTCAAACTTACTTTGAACTGGGCGTACCTCGCCATGCGCACCTGGACGCCGTTTCGGTGCCCCATGTTCGTCTTCTCCCCATCCATCGTGACGCCGATCAGCTTCCGAATCCACCCCGTGAACAGAGCGTCGAGAAGCTTGACAATCACGGTCTCCTAGTTCTGGGCGGTGTGACGGTCGAAATGCGGCATCGCGATCAAATGCAGGTTGTAGAGGACACACATCACACCGACACGCACGCGGATATCCATGAAGCACGTACCGCAGTGCGTGCTCCAGTCGAACGACAACGCCAGCGCTCAGACGTCGTCGGAGGCGATGATTGTGGCAAGCGCCCGCAGCGAGTGACCGACAATCACATGGGCGTACCGGCCGACCAGTGTGTCGTTCATGCCTCCCAGCTTGGCGATCAAGCCCGTGTTCTTTGTGTCCTCGATTACCCTGGCGACCTGCCGGAACGGCAAGCCGACCGACACGTGCTTGATGACGAGCTTGAAGCGCATCACAGCCGGGATCCTGACCGTGTAGCCGACGCCATCCTCGTTCTCGGTGAAAAATACAGCGCACTGCGCCGCAGCTTGGCGATCTTCCGGTTGCGAGCGTCGATGCCCGTGAGCTCTTCCCCGTCGTCGCCGTCCGCCTCCAAGGCCGCAAGCTCGTCCTCGGGGCGGAGCACCATCTCGCCGATGATGACCTTGACGATCGAGTCCGAGATGACCAGGTTGATTTCGTCGCTGTCCACGTCGATGTACTGTAGTTGTGCATGGTGTACGCGCGAGGAATCGCCACGTCGAAGAACGAGTCCATTCGCGCGGAGGCCTGGGCACTGTACTCGACCCATTTCTCGCCGTGCTGAGGCTGCATGTGCTTCGTGATGACGTCGCTACGAAACTCTTCGCCAAAGAACGGTTGGTCGTCCGCGGGCCGCGCTTGCGCTTGATCCCGGCCGCCTCAGTGGTGACACAGCGGCCAAAGTAGAAACAGAACTTGCAGCAGGCACTCTTGACAACGAGGCTGTCCTGGGAGGTGATCTCCAGGGCGTACTTGCGCGCGTAGGACGGTTGCCAAGAGTGCTTGGCTTGGACTTGGGTGCCATCAATTTGAATTCGCGCAATCAGCAATGGGATCGTCCGCACAGCAGTCCACAAGCAGTCCGCAGACTTTCTTAAAAGTGGAAAAAGTTCGGCCCTTAAATGTGTAATAAGCGTGTTAAATGTGGAATCGTCCACTTTTTATGAGGCCTGCTGTAGGTTCCTAAGCTCCTTGAAGATTACCGTGCTTTTTGTTCTCAAATCTGGTCTGAATAGCATCGTCAACATGTTGTCTCAATATTCCCCCCAATCGTGGCTTTCTGCATATGTTGATTGTTGCTTGGGGGAGACAATATTGCTCTTGTGTTGCTCGAACTTTGGTTTCGGCAGTGCTTTCGTGAGCATGTCGGCAATCA